ATGTCAGTTAATAGTTTGAGGGAAAGCTGCTGTAGTGAAAGGCTGCCTGTGGTTCCTTGGAGAGGCCACGCCGTCGTGCACTTTTGCCCCCCTTGTTGTACCCTGCAGTTTCAGACTGTAGCTGTTGTATTAGTGTTCTGTTGCTGCCATACAAAGTTATGACAAACCTAGTGACTTAAACAACACAAAAGTCAGCAGTGGGCTTAGCTGGTTTTTCTGCCCTAACTTACACAGGCTGAAAACCAAGGCATTGATAGGGCTGGGCTCTGGGGCAGAATCTGTTTTTGAGGCTCATTCAGGTTGATGGGGAATTTAGTTCTGTGCTGCTGTGGGACTGAGGTCCTGTGTCCTTTCTGGCTCTCGGCTAGGGATCATTTACAGCTTCCAGGGACCACCATCATTCCCTGGCCTTCGAAGCCAGTAAGAGGGGGCTCCCGCTTCACATGTCTCCTGCGTCTTGTTCCCTAGATCTCTCTGGCTGACTGACACTTCTGCCTTCCTCTTCTGATTGTAAGGGCCCATATTTAATAGGGCTCACTTTGGATAATCTCCATTTTAAGGTCAGCTGGTTAGCAAACTTAGTTTCTTCTGTAAAGTCCCTTTGGCCAAGTCACATATTTACAGGTATTAAAACTCCAGCATATGAAGATCCTGGAGGCCAAAATTCTGCTTACTGTAGGATAGGAAGGGAAAGGCCTAGTCGACCTCAGGCTTACAACAGCATTTTACATTAAAGGCTGCTGAGAATAGAGAACAAGCAACATACATGTGATCCTGCGTGCTTCTGGTGGTCACCTCCCATGTTTATCTAGAAGGAGCTTTTTGAAAAATTGTATGCCATCTGTCTTTAAAAACACACCAGGGTCAAGATATGTAAGATTTCAATTAGTTTTATACAAACTTTGAAGAGAACAGACTTGCTTTTATTAGTGAAAATGTTTTTCCTTTATTTCCTAAATTGCATGGGTGAATTGATGCTTATTGTAGGAAATCTGAGAAGTACAGGAATTTTGAAGAAGCTGAAAAAATCATCCTAACCCTGTTACCGAGAAACAACCACTTCATAGGCATTTGTCATTATATATTGATTTTTTTTCTTTTCCTATTCTTCCCCCTAGAATCTGTTTTAAAAGTTCTGAACATGTGCAGGAGAGGCCCTGGTCAAGAGGATGCTGTGCCGACTTGGAAGACCAAGTGTGTCACAGAGGTACTCAGAAGGAGGAAGGGATGGCTTTGCTGGTGCGTGTTAACAGGTTGCTGGTGGCTGGCTTGAAGGAGGGGTCATTGTCAGCCCCTGTTAGGGCCAGGTACCTTTCTTTGTGTGCTATCTTTCATCTGACAGAATGTTGTCATCTTTACTGGTACTGTTTTATGCAGAGTTAAAAAGTAAAACAGAAACTCAAGTCTTTCTATTGAAACTTTATGCTAGATTAGGGTTTCTAGGAGAGAAATGACATCTGCTTGGGACATCACTGAAATTTTAGTTACAATGTTTACATTAACCTTGCAGATCATTCAAGTGTGTGAAATTTGGTTTCATTGCAATTCAGTGTGATTTAAACAATGGAAGAAATGTGGATGACAGCAAAATAGAAATGACGTTGATTTGGATGGAATAATTTTTCTTAAAAATATATTCCATATTAATGAGTAGTAATTAGGTGCTAGTTTATATTAGACCAAGTGATTTATACTTTAAATATATAGAAAAATGATCAGTTTCAAAAACCTATTAAATATATCTATGTAAAATTGTTACATCCTAGTCATTCTTTCCAGTCTTAAGATTTGAATTTCAAAAACCTATTTTTGTTTTCAACATCTAACTTAAGAAGAAGGTCTGGGAACTAAAGTAACACTTTTTTCCTGTATGTATGTATGTGTGTATATATATTTCTTTTTTAATTGAAGTATAGTCAGTTTACAATGTTGTGTCAATTTCTGGTGTACAGCATAATGCTTCAGTCATATATGAACATACATATATTCACTTCCATATTCTTTTTCACCGTAAGTTACTACAAGATATTGAATATAGTTCCTTGCTCTGCACAGCATGAGCTTGTTGTTTATCTATTCTGTATATATCTATTAGTATCTGCAAATCTCTAACTCCTAGTTTATCCTTTCCCACCTCCTTCCCCTCTGGTAACCATAAGTTGTTTTCTATGTCTTTGAGTCTGTCTGTTTTGTATATAAGTTCATTTGTCTACTTTTTTTTAGATTCCATGTAAGTGTTATCATATGGTATTTTTCTTTCTGGCTTACTTCACTTAGAATGACAGTCTCCAGGTCCATCCATGTTGCTGCAAATGGCATTATTTTATTCTTTTCTATGGCCAAATAGTATTCCATTGTATAAATATACCCCAACTTCTTTATTCAGGCATCATCTGTCGATGGACATTTAGGTTGCTTCCATGTCTTGGCTATTGTAAACAGTGCTGCTGCTATGAACATTGGAGTGCATGTATCTTTTTGAACTAAGGTTCCCTCTGGATATATATGCCCAGGAGTGGGAGTGCTGGATCATATGGTAAGTCTGTTTTAGTTTTTTTGAGGAATCTATACTGTATCCCATAGTGGCTGCACCAAACTTCATTCCCACCAGCATTGTAGGAGGGCTCCCTTTCCTCCAGACCCTCTCCAGCATTTATCATTTGTTGACTCTCTAATGACGGCCGTTCTGACTGGTGTGAGGTGATACCTCATCGTAGTTTTGATTCGCCTTTCTCTGATAATTAGCAATATTGAGCATTTTTCATGTGCCTGTTGGCCATTTGTATGTCTCCACCAGAGAATTGTTTGTTTAGGTCTTCTGCCCAATTTTGGATTGGGCTTTTTTTTTGTTATTAAGTTGTATGAGCTGTTTATATATTCTGGAAATTAAGCCCTTGTCAGTCTCATCACTTGCAAATATTTTCTCCCATTTTGTAGGCTTTTTGTTTTGCTTACGGTTTTCTGTGCTGTACAAAAAGCTTATAAGTTTAATTAGGTCCCATTTGTTTATTTTTGCTTTTACTTCTATTGCTGGGTAGACTGCCCTAGGAGAACATGGCTAAGATTTAGGTCAGCTGTTTTGCCTGTGTTTTCTTCTAGGAGATTTAGTGTCTTGTCTTATGTTTAAGTCTTAAAGCCATTTTGAGTTTATTTTTGGGCTCTCTATTCTGGTCCATTGATCCATATGTCTGTTTTTGTACCAGTACCATGCTGTTTTGATTGCTGTAGCTCTGTAATATTGTGTGAAGTCTGGGAGGGTTAAAATAATAACACTTATGCAGTATTTAAGGATTTAGGACATTTTTATTCATATTATTACCTTACAGCCTGACAACAACCCTGACTCCGAGCTGAGTCATGGAATGACGATAAGAGGCCATGTGATGCGATAGATGTGCGTGGGACAGACCTAAGTCAGGTAAAGCTGAGTCCCACTGCACGATTGAAAGTACTTCATGTTTTGGTGAGGTGGCAAGAGTGATATATGGTTTTTGTTTAGGATGACTGCATGAATGGTCTCTACTCAACACTGCACTCCCTCACTTACCACCTGCCTATGGGCCCCGCTTGTCCTCATCTTCTACAGTGCCCACTGTGGCAGGTCTTGCCCTGGAGTGTGGGAGAGGGCTCAGGTGCCTGACTATTCTGCCTCTGCCTGAGCAGTACATTTAATTCTGGGAAGTCCCAGCAGAAATGTATTCCCAGTCCTGGGGACCAGCCTTAATCTCATCATCCAGAAGAGAAATTTCTGTTCCTCTCACCTTCCCCTCTAATAGGGCTTCTGTACTGTCTTAAGGTCTAGTGCTCTTTTGCCTAGAATAAGTCTCTTCTCATTTATCAACCATATTGCTGTGATTTTTTTCCCTTTCTCTCTCTAAACATCTGGCATGCTTAAGAATTAGAATGGTTCCTACTCTATTACTCCTTTTACCTTGAATTCTTTCCTAGTCCCCAGGCAGAACGTAGATTTTCCATTTCTGTGTCCTGTCTAGTAAATACACATGTGTTTAAAGACCAAGCTTCAGTGTTACCTTATCAGTTAAACCATTTCATTCATCCGCTGTTTGTCATAATTGTTATTTGTAATAATCTCGTTACCTATTATTCTAACCTCCGTGATGGCCTTTGATCCTTATAGAACAAGCTTGGCCTTTACTGGCAAGTGCCATTTGGAAAAAGAAGATAAAAGAACCTAGAAGCTTAAAAAATAGAGTATTTTTGAAAAATATAGCTCAGCTTGTTTATTTTCCTTTACTTTGATATAAGTAAAACTAAATGAATTTTTTTATTTGACTAGGTGTTTGTAATATCCTGTTGTCTAAAATAAGTTAAATGGTTGTTTTAAGCTGATACAGCATATGCATTATTTACATTTTGTTAAATCTGTTTAGGCACTTAAAATGATGTTGGGTGAACTTGGGAACACTGCT